AGAGTTGGAACCCATGCTGACCCAGAAGTGGAAGTAGTTAAACTAGGATCTGTGCTCTGTGGTGAGAATGACACACATTCACACAGTACTTGTGGCTGGGCAAGGTGAGGCTTATTCCTAGTGACAGAGGAGGAAACCGATGCTAGCAAGTAAGGAGCTGGCTCTGGGCCCCAGGCCTTCTGGCCACTCTCAGGGTGGCTCTGAGAGGCTGGCACCCTCTGAGCTCCTTTCTCCTGCATATAGAGGCAGCCTTTTGAGTACCTGCTTCGTGCTGCGCTCCATGGCAGGAATTGAGTCCGGTCTTCTCCACAGCTAAAGACACTGGGGCTGAGGGTCCCCAGCCTGAGGTTACACTCAGCCAAGTGCCGGAATCAGACGCTGCCCAGGTCTCTACCTCTTCCCCTGAGAGCCCAAGGTGACTTCAGCACGGGGCGGTTTGCTTGGGGTGTTTAATTCTTTTGTCCCTGGCGAACCCCTACCCCGTGAGGGGTTAGCACTTGCTCGTGCCAAAGGCGCAGAGGCCTTGGGGATCCTGAGCTCTGACAGTGCCAGCGCCATCAGCAGAGTGGCGTGGCCAGCAGCTCATCCCACGCGTGCCTTCACTGTCTCATGCTCAGGAGGGAGCGGCCTCATGGAACCTCCACTTTCTCGGTGAGGCTCAGCATGGCTCAGCAGAAAGCAGAGACCACCTGAGGAAAGAAAGAGGGCAGCCCGGGCTGTCTCATTTGAAGGAAGTATGGAGACAGTCAGGGACATGGTTTACCCACCTCGTTTTCCAGAGGACTCTTGGATGCTCAGTGAGGTAGAGGCCAGGGCCGCAGAGGATCTCCAGGCCCGAAGGCCCCAAGGCCCCTTTCCCAGCCCTGCCACTTCCTGCAGTGTCAGTTTGGGCAGGGTCTCTGTGCCCCAGCGCCTTCTGTGAAGCAGGATATTGAGGCCCCAGGATCCTGGACTTGCTTCTTCAGGTGGGCACCTCAGTCACTCAGCACCCAGCTTCCCCGCTGTGAAGAGGCACAGCTTGGTTGGAGCCGTGCTGCAAGGCATGTAAGGGCAGGGCAGGCCTTGGGTCCCTCATCCTCCCTGAGGCTACTGGCTGGTGATCAAGCCAGTGGGCCAGTGGCTGTGGCTGCTGCTGAGGGAGAGAGTGTCAGACCCAGAATGGGGGAGTTGGACAATCTGTCCTTCTGGTTCTTAGGGACCTCCAAGTGGGTGTGGCAGGTGACACATTTCTTGGAGCCAGGAAGTACCCCGGGGCTGGAGAGAGGGAGGTTTCGACTGCCCTGCAGAACCCCCTGGCCCATTCCTGCCTCGGCTGTGCTTTCCTGGCAGTGCTCACCCTCCATATGGCAATTGCTGGAGGTTGGTGGCTGCGCCTGGGAGACCTGAGACTGCTTCCTCCGCGCTGGGGGGGAGCGTGCAGAGTGGTAATTATAGACAGCCCTCCGCCAGGCTGGCCCAAACCAGTTCCCTCGTTCCCAGTGTGGCTCAGAGCCGTGGGATGGGAAGAGTACAGCAGAGGCAGCTTGGAGGAGGTCAGTGGGGGCGGGACTGTCAGCTGTCACATGCACAGCCCCCAGGCCCTGCAGCAGGAGGCCCAGGGAGCTTTTCTGGGTCTTGTGCAGGAGGCAGAGGGAGAAGGCCTGGCCTCTTTCCCCAGAGGCTTGTGGGTACCCAGGAGGCCACCTCAGATGGGCGCACAAGCCCAGCTGAGCCACGTTAGGAAGCCTGGGGTCAACCATGTGGAGAGACAGCTTGGTAGAGCAGTGGAGCCAGGGACATCTTCCTTCTGCTCACTTTCCTGTTAAGTTAAATAGGCCCTAAATCCTCATCCTGTCCTCCAGCATGGTGGGTTCCCTGCCTGCCCCTGTTGTTAAGTTAAATAGGCCCTAAATCCTCATCCTGTCCTCCAGCGTGGTGGGTTCCTTGCCTGCCCTTCTGGCCTCTATTCTTGCTGCTCCCTGCACCATAACCATCCTGGCCCACTTTTCTTCCTTGAACTTGCCAAGTGTGTTCCTGATTCAGGCCTTTGCACATGCTCTGACCACTGCCTGGTATGTTCTTTCCTTTTCCCATGGGTTGCTCCTTAGTCACTGAAGACTAGGGGTCAAGCTCAGATATGCATTGGCCAGGATCTGCCAGTTAACCCTCTGCGAGTCACTTTCCCCTCTGGGGACTTCCTTCATCTCTAGCAGCAAATGCTGGCACCCCAGAGATACACTCTTGTCAACTGGCCTTGCCGCAGGAGCTGTCAGGACCAGAGTATTCAGGGGCGGGGAAGGCAGGCCGGGAGCCTGTGCAGGTGTTAATCCCCTGGCTTTTCCGCTCTGCAGCTTAGGCCGGGAGCAGAGTTTCAGCCCAGGCAGCTGACAGCCTTTGTGTACTCTGTCGCCTTGAGCCCAGACATACCTGTCCTGGCTGACACTGCTCATTGTTGCTCACTAGCTTTGGGTCTCTCAGTTTCTGCTCTGCTGGAAGCCTGAGCTCTTTCAGAGGATGCCTGGGGCTGCATAGGACTAGGGTATGCCTACAAAGGGGAAGGGTGAACTGGCAGGCTGTGGGATGGGCAGACCCATGATGAAAATCTGAACATGGCCCTTTAAGAGAACATTCCGGGAGCTGAGTGTGTGTAGCTCAGTGGTAGAGCGCTTGCCTGGCATGTGCAGTTCCATTCCCAGCATCACAGAAAAAGAGCATTTGGAGGGAGAAGGACCTCCTGAAGTGTTTTGAATTCTCCTCTGCCAGAAGCTTAGGAATGTTTCTCACCTCCACAGCCAGGAGGAGGCCCTGAAGAAGTTGACTACCTGGGGGTCGGTGTGGGTGAGCCTGGAAGAGCACATGGTTCAGTGCCACTTCCTGGGGACAGCAGAGGGTAGACTCCATCCGAGGAAGAACTTTGCTTCGCTGGTGTGATTGGGATTCAGGAGCCAGGACTCTAGCCTCTGCCGCCCTGCCTGCCCCACCTCTGTATTCATTGGCTGACATGGTGGGGACCCCCCCCCGCCCCATTTTTCCATCCCAGACTTGCTCAGTCATCTGAATCACCTGGGACCCCAAAAATCCCAGCTCCTTGGGAGGTGAGGGCAGGAGGATTGTAAATTGGAGGCTGCCTGGGCAACTTAGTAAGACCCTGTCTGACACTAAAAGTTAAAAGGAGGAGGTCTGGGGATATCTGGGAGTACGGGAGGAGGGGAAGCCCAATTCCAGGCCTACCCAGACCTACTGTGCACCATCTCCGGGACTGCTGTGGGGCTGGGTGGCTGCACCCACAGTGTCGCATTGGACCCCACAGCTGTGGTGGGCATGGGCAGGTGGCCAGGGCAGTATTGGCCAACTGACGTGAGCGAGGTAGGACAGTGAAGACAATGCGTGTAGCTCTTTTCTTTTTTTTCCCTCCCTCAGTACCGGGGATTGAACTCGGGTCCTTGCGCTTGCGAGGCAGGTGGCAGAACCACTGAGCTATATCCCCGACCCGCGTGTAGTTCTTAAATGGGAAGCACCCCTCTTTTCCCTTTTAAAGAAGTAACGCAGCTGTTATATCATTGTGGGAGGAACTTGGTAGGACTCCTGAGGGTGTGAATTTTATTCTCCTGGTTACGAGAGCGAGAGGAGTTGCATTAGTTATGTAGACCACAGACCTCATGGCCCAGGCTTGGTTGGATTTGGGGGTGGAACAGATGGAGGATAAAAGTAGGGACTTTGGGGTTGAAGTCCTAATGAAGCGCCCCCCCAAGTTAGGAAGAGGTTTGTATGTGTTGCTTGGAGGTTGAGAAATCAGGGTAAAGCGGCACACAGAGAGTTCCTTTTGTTTTTCAAAAAACACATGCCCCTGGGGCAGGGATTTAGCTCAGTGGTTGCGTGGCCTGCCTTGCAAGCTCAAGGACCCGAGTTCGATCCCCGGTACCCAAAAAACACAATAAAACACGTGCCTCTGTCGCTGGAGGTGCAGCTCAGTGGTAGAGCACTTTCCTAGCATGCATGGGGCCCGAGGTGCCATACACAGCACAAAATTAAAAGAAAACAAAACCTTATTATTTCGCTCAGGACACTACGGCAGTTTTTTGAGGGCGGCTTTGCCTTTCAGGTAATGCTGTGCCGAATGTCCTTGTGACTTTTCTGATTCGTTTCATAGGATAAATGGCTAGAAATGTAATTCACTGTGGGACCACAGGGTTAAATATAAAGACTCATGGTAAAATATACTTTTTTCTTGAGTAGATAAAATGTGCAGGTGGTGAAAGCAATTAGATGGACCTATGAAGGTGTGCAGTGAGTAAGTCTGCCTCCCACACCTGGCTCCAGTGCTGTAAACCCCGCCTTAGAGAAAAATGCTGTTACTAGCTTTTTGTATTTGTCCAGAAATATTCTGTGTTTATATAAACATGTATGTTTCTATTCTTTTCACCCTCTATTTTCCTCTTTTTATTTTTATTTATTTATTTTTGGCACACAAATGAGGGCATTTTATATTTACATCTTACAGTAGTGTGTCTCAGTGTAGCTGCACTGTGTTGTATCTGCTCGGTCCAGAATGGGTAATGACAAACTTGTAGGGTGGTGGGTACTATGAGGAACAGTGGCTGTGTGCAAGGCCCAGGATCCGGGAACTGGGGAAGCAGCAAGGTGTCGACAGCTGGGCTGATCCCCCCAGAATGCACTGCAGGCTTTGGGGAAGAGGCACTAGCAGAGTACCTGGCACCCACTGGTCACCCTGACACCCAGGCAGGTCATGGAAGAGGCTTTGGGTATGGAGGTCAGGAAGCCCCCACCAAGAGCAAATGGCTACACCAGTGTGGCTTCAGGGAGGGCACCACAGCCGTGCTGCCTGTGCAGATGGTGCCTTTGTGTGCAGGACGGGGAGGCCACTCGGTGGGCTGCGGGGGTGGCTTCTCAGAGGCGTAGGGGGAGGACGCATCTCCACTATCACTGGGGCAGAATGTGTGCTCTTTCTCATACCAGACTAAATAGTCTCCTTATCTATTTTCCTTTTTCTTTTTCCCCAGAGGCTCATCTAAAATAGAGGAAGCATGCGAAATCTATGCCAGAGCAGCGAACATGTTCAAAATGGCCAAAAACTGGAGTGGTATGTGCTGTCTGCTACAGCGCTTCCTTCCCTCCCCTCAGCTCCCTGTCCGCCGGCCTGGCCCTGCAGGCCCCACTGCCCACTTCTAGTGGGGTATTGGCCCCTTTGGTCCAGGGGGAAGGATGTAGATCTAGGAAGGATAGAAAGGAGAGAGATGATGCTGTTGATCACTCAGTCCTGAGGGACCCACGAGGATGAGTTCTTTGTCAGATTTCTCCCTAAATTGAGAATTTTGGGTTTCCTGGAAACAACTCCATCTTGCTTCCATCAGAATCCAAATTCTGGGCTGGGGCACACACAAGAGGTTCCAATCATAACATTAATGACAGCCATCGTTTATGGGGCCCTTTACTATCTGTCATGCATAATTTAATTGCCTCATCTCAGCAAGCCTGGGGATGCCATTAATATCCCCATTTACAGACCAAGAAACTGAGGTTTGGCTCAGCACCTGCGAAGGCTACCATGACGAGTAGGCAGCACAGCCAGGATTCAGAAACTGGCAGAATCTGCTGTCAGTGGCCCGGCGATTCCCCCAAGGCAGCAGGCTCCTGAAAGGCCGAGCGTGGGGGGTCTGGTTTGGGGAGCTGTAGGGGACCAGTGCACTGAATCCCATTAGCACTGACTTCATAATGCAGCTCCCAGTGTCAGCAAGATTGAATCAAGGAAATGGAGCACAAGACAGTTTGGGAACCTGGGGAGAATGTTTGGACATTGATGAACCTGGGAGTGGGTGGGCCGCAGAGGTTCTGGGTAGACACAGTCCTCACCATGGCTTGAGAACCCCATCAGCTGGTTTCCTGAAAATTAGAAGAGCTTTCCGTGATGTTCAACAAAACGCATGGTACATATGGCCAAGTGCTGCATGTATTTTTATGCTCCCAAGCTGATTTAAAGGACCTTAAGAAATGCCTATTTTTCAGTTACATATATGTTGCTTTTCCCCTAAAATGAGTTACCATCCCTGCTTTAACAATTCGAACAGAAGTCTTGGGCCACTTTCTCCCTGTTAGCATCCATCTTCCTTGAAATTTAGGGCTCAGATTTGGAGCTGTCAGTGAGATCACAGAGTGAAGCTCCAGAGCGGGGGGGCCCTGATGCCTCCAGAGCTGGCTTAGGAGACGTCTGGACAGAATGGCTGAGGACCCACAGAAAGTGGCTGTGTGTACAAGAGCTCAGGGCAGGTGGAACTTATAGGCACTTTCCTGCGTGTACAGAAGCTATTTTCCCTTCTGGATTGCCACTTTTTTGCCACACACACACATGCACACACACACGCCTCACAGCACAGTGCTCTGGCCGGTGCACAGTGGGGCAGAAGCACAGGGCTTGAGGATTCAGCAGGAAGAGCATTGTGGAGTTATAGGGGAAAGAAATAGGACTGGGAAAGAGGGACAGGTGGACAGGTATTAGGTAACTTAATCTCATGTGCCCCTTCTTCCTGGACCCCCGCTCTGGGCCTGTCCCCCATCGCCCAGCCTCCACTTTGCCTCCAGCAGAGAGGACTGCTGAGGCAATGGGTGCTGGAGCCGCTTCACCTTGCTTTCCTGTCCTTCGACACTCTCATCTCTGCCTGCCTTGTCCTCGGACCTTTACAAGTGGTGGCCCAGGAGATGTTGGCAAAGCCAGGGCGAAGGACGTGGGCTCAACTGGGGCTCTGGTGGATCACCAGGAGCCACCTGTCTGGGCTTCTGCTGGGCTTGTTCGCCTGGGCCAGTCCCGACCTCTCTCTGGGCCTCCTTCCGTGTTCTTGAGAGCCCGACCCCCGTCCTGGGCAGTGTCTGTATGCAGCCCCCAAAGCTGGGCCTCTCTTTTCTCTTCCAGCTGCTGGAAACGCTTTCTGCCAGGCTGCCCAGCTTCACCTGCAGCTCCAGAGCAAGCACGACGCGGCCACCTGCTTTGTGGATGCCGGTAATGCCTTCAAGAAAGCTGACCCCCAAGGTGAGGGCCACTGGGGCCACACACTGATCACCAGAGCAGCTGAGCATTCTCGAAGTCCTCGGGTGTCCAAGTGAATCTGGGTTTTTCCAGTAGCCAACATGTGACAGGCTGGAGGCACAGAGAGCCTGAACTTCAGAACTGGCTCCCCTCCTGCAGCTGGCACTCTGTACTGCTCCAGTCCTGCCTCCCTCCCCTGGGATGCACAGCCTGTCGCTCCCCTTCGAGCATTTGGGAGTGGGAGTTACATTTCAGACCCTCCGCCTGCCAGGGATCGAGGCAAAGCTGTTCTGTTGTCAGAATTAACATGCAGAAGGGAGCGGGGGCGTTCTAAGACCAGCCAGGTAGGAGTCGCTGCTGAAAAAGGAGCGGAAATTATCCTAACCTGGCTTCCCTATGCCCTGGGGAGAAAATCAGTGAGAACAGAGCCTCAGATCCAGTTGCCAGAGAACAAGTTCCTTAAAGCGAGAGCGTGTGGGGACAGCAGCTCGGTTGGGAAGACAGTCTCCACTGGGCTGGTCCTGAGGCAGAAGCCCAGCTCGTGGCCCCCAGATGCTGGGATTTTGTGCGGTGGGAATTTTGCTTTTATTATTTATTTTTGTGTAGTGCTGGGGATGGAATCCAGGGCCTTTGCATGCTGAGCACGTGCTCTGCCACTGAGCTACATCGCCAACCTTGGGATTTTTGTCTTTTAAAATCTTAGGGCCAGACATAGATTCTAACTTTTAATTTTAACAAAGATTTTTTTTTTTGGTTTTGGTATCACGGATCGAACTCGGGTCCTTGCGCTTGCGCAGCAGGCAGCGGAACCACTGAGCTAAATCCCCGACCCACAGAGACATTTAACATGCTATCTCTTGTCACTGTCCTCTCAGGAGAGTAGAGAATTCTTTTTTAAGGAGATACTTATCTTGGAACAAAGGCCGGTCCTTGGTCCTTGCCAGGAGAGGCCGTTTTGCGGCCGAGAACAGGTTTCTCTGCAGCCCTCAAGTGCTGCCTCACGTAGTCTGGGTCTCTGCTGGATCCTGACTGTGACAAGGCCAGTTCCCTGTGAGAGAGCCGTCTCTCTATGGACCAGGAACCGGCCCCTCCTTCTCAGCTGGCATCTCATAGATGTGGGGCTAAGTGGTCACGTGGTGGGGCTTGGGCCAGACAGGCTCAGAGGGAACGGCCCTGTGATTGGTGGGCTACAGCAGACTTCGTGGGTGACTTGGTGACCCGATGCAACACTGGGTTTGTTTTCGGGCTGGAGTTACCCTAGGAATCTCTTGTCCTCCACAGAGCCTTCCCCCCAGCCTTTCCTTCTGCTCCCTGGGGAACTGGTTGGCGTGGTGATGCTGCCTAGCATCTGTGACGCTCAGCTGCTGCCCCATCCGGAGTGACTGGAAAGACTTGTTTCTGGGGTGGCAGCTGCCAGGCTGCCTGATGTATGTGCACCATGTGCGCTTTCAGCAGACCCTGCTCTTCCTGCAGGCAGGCCTGGCGTGATGTGCTTGCACTGATCCCTCCCCTTGGCCTTGGTAGCAGAGTGTTGCACGGAATTGGCCAAGGAGGCTCAGAGCAATGGAAGGGCATTGAGGTTGCCAACCTGGGTGCCGAGGACTTGGCTGGGGGCCTCTCAGGAAGGGGAGGACACAGCTGTGACAAAATAGCCCGATCGCGTGCAGGCAGCCCCAGCACTAGTGCTGAGCAGCCCTGCTGACTCCAGGTTCCCTCCCTGGTCTCTCCCTGGTTGCAGCGAGCTGGGGTGTGACCAGTCCAGGTGTGAGCATATTTGCATGGAGGTGACAGCTGCTTTGTGTCTGGGGTCAGGGTGCACAGAGAAGGGCGCAGCAGTTGAGTGATATCTGGGAAGAGCATGACCTTGGGCAAGACACTTCCCCTCTTGAGGCTGTGTTCTGTCCTGTGTTAAAGCACGGGTCTACCATGAGCCCACGCACAGATCTGCCCAGTGTGGCGACGGCCCTGTGTGCTCAAGGTCCAGCGAGGTGTGCAGCCCCTGCTTTGTGAAGTGGAGCTCTGCCTGCCTAGTTTGCCCTAGCTGGGGTCTTCCCTGCCGGTCTCCTCCCCAGCCCAGACAGCCTTGTCCAGCCTTGTGTCCTGGAGGGTCTCCCCAGCTATCTCCTTCAGATTGGCTCTTCATCCTGCTGCTGCACTTGCCTTCTGTGGAGAGAGCTGCTGCCCCATGCTGGCTGGTGCTGCCCGTGCTGCCAGGGCTTCCTTGGTCTCCTTACCACTGCCCACTGCTCTAGGTGGACTCTGGGCAGGAGGCCCCTTCCCTGGCTGACCTGGTCGCTGGGGCCTGGCACAGGGAGTGGTCCAGCCCCCACTTGTCCTGCCCCTCGTGTGCTGTCACTTGCTGGGTGCCTAGTACTTACCAGACACTTGCATCTTCTAATGCACCCCACTTCCTGGCTCAGTTCTGTGACTTGTCCCTATTTCATTGAAGAAAAGGGACAGGCTGAGCCCCGGGAGTGATGGAAGGCTGCAGCTAGGTGCAACCTGGGGGCAGGGGAGTGACAGTCTCAGGCTGGAGAGAGCTCAGCAGGCAGACTGAAGGGAGCGGGGACAGACCACGGATGCCCAGAGCCTGGGGACCCAAGATAAGCCCAGTGGCAGTGAGTGTCAGGTGCTCATCTGGGAGCTGGCCAGCGTGTCAGCTGGCAGCCTGCCACTTTCCAGGACAGCTGTTCCCGGAGCGAGGAGCTGGCACAGAGAAGCCTTAGCCCTGAGAAACCATGTTCCTCCCCCGCTGCCGCTGTAGGGGCCGAGCCTCACTGACAGTACCCTGGGTGGCAGGCTGGGAGCAGCTGCTTCTCTTGCTGGGGTGCAGCCTTTGCCACATCGGCCCACAGGGGGTCAGGACAGGGAGCCCATGAGTGGCTGGGTCCCAGTGGGGGCTGCTGCCGCCGCCTCCTCCTCCCCAGCATCGGCCCAGTTGGCTGCTGAGCATCCTTCTGGACCTGCTTGGTTACAGAACGTGTGTGTACGTAAGAGGATTAACACTGTTCTAGGCTCCTGTTTTGTTGACATGTCTGCTCCCTTTGTGCCTCCTCTGCCCGCTTTACCCCTTTTCCTACTCCCTCAGGCTCCCAGCTGAAAGCCTGGAGCCTTACTGAATGGTGCACGTTCTTTGGGCCCCCAGAGGCTTTTCAGAATTGGATGGAATCTACACACTCCTGGAGCGACACTCACCACTTTGTGCATTACATCCAGGGACATTTGGAGACTGCTCAGAGCCTCTGTCTTCCCGGTGGCGTTGGCGTCCTCCAGGGTGTCCAGGGATGTCCAGGAACTGGGGAAAGCCCTAAGCCTCCCAGGCCCTCTGCCCTCTGCCCCCCTCATCCTCCCTCCCCAGCAGCCTTTTGAGATGCACTAAAATGATGTTTTTTAAAATTCTACCCTGAGAGCTCATTTCTATCTGCTAGAAATTGCCACCCACTCATGCTTTTCTCTCCTCCAAATAACTTGTCAAAAAAAAAAAGCCTTTTCCCAAATTTAAAATCTTGCAAGAGATAGTACAACAAAGGTAGCCCAGCTCCTCCTCTCAGCACCGTCTTGGGGTGTTTTTTGGTGAACCTTGCAATTGGAGGAGCTGGTGGGTGGCAGGCCAGGGTGGGGAGCACTCAGAGCAGAGGACTTTGCCAGCCACCTGCCCAGGGCAGGGCAGGGTAGGTTGTGCACCCAGTCTCCCACCTGGAGATCCAGGGCACTGGTGCGGGGCGCACTCTGCTCAGGAGACCTGCAGTGACATTGGCCGAGTCCCAGAGAGCCTGGGCATCTGCCACCCCAGGATGGCCTCACCTTCGCCCTTGGCAGCAGCAGCTTTGTCCTCAGAGAGCAGGGCCTTGGCAGGTGGCTCAAAACACCTGTGGGAACCTGGCTGTGCCCTGTCCCTGTAACTGCCAGGGAGCTGGTGGCACAGTGGCAGCCCGAGAGAAGGGCTCCCCCGGAGACATTACCAGCAGTTCCTGGTGTGCAGAGAAAATCAGTCTGGCCAGGTTTCCTAGGCTCAGGGCTCCTCCACCTTCTCCTGGTCCGCAGAGCTGGGGCACAGCCCTGGCAGCCCTGGGCACGCTGCTCCCTGCTGGTCCGGTCCTCTGTGGTGACTTCACTCTGGTTTCTCCTCCCCGCATCCCCTTTTCTCTTCCCAGAGGCCATCAGCTGTTTGATGAGAGCCATCGAGATTTACACAGACATGGTAAGGGGCCCCATTAGTGTCCCTTGCATTAGCACCCCCAGCAGGGTTCTTGTCTTCCAGCAGAGCAGGTGGGGCAGTTGGAGCCCAAGGGAATTTGGCAACCTAAGTTGGGCTAGTGGTCCCTCCTTCTGCCCTGCCTCCACCGTCCATGGCCGTCATGCTTTTCATTTGTTGGAGTTACGGTTCCTGGAGTATGTGTGTGTATGTGTGCGCGCGTGTGTGATTCCTTCTCCACCTTCCCCACCATCTGAGTAGCAATTCCCAGTAGTGCAAAAGGCCAGGCTGGGCAGGAAGCTCCTGCTGTGGGCCACCTCTGTCAGCCCAACCCTTTTGCTGTGCTCAGAGCAGGGCTGCAGCAACTGACCTCACAGCTGTAGCAGGGTCACTTGCTGAGCCAGACGCTGTGGGCAGTTGACTTCCTGCCCCGCTGCTCTGCAGTCTGTGCATGTGAGGGTTGTGGCTTGCCGAGGGACACAGGCCTACCAGCAGGAGTTTTCGAGACCCAGTCTGGCTGGACGCAGGGCCTTGGCTTTCCATTGCCCTTGCAAAGGGTGTGTACCAGGGGCCAGAGGCATGCAGAGGGTGCCTGGTGTGTTGGACCTTGAGGACCCCTCGGGGCGTGCTGGGCATGCGCAGGGGTGGCTGCAGGATGGGGCACTGGCCTGTGGAAAGCAGGCTCCATGGCCATACAGGAAGAGTGGGGACTTGCAACCCTCAGTCCTGGTTTGGCAAAGCCATTTACCCGGTGACTCTGGGGCAGGCTCCACCCAGCCCTTCCACACACATCACCTTTGGCATCTGCCCCGTGCACCTGCACCTTGTAGACAGGGTGGAAACAGGCCAAGGCACGGGGGCTGGCCGAGGTGCCCAGGGCAGCAGGGCCCCCATCCTGGTGGCGAGTCCTCATGCCGTCTCTGCAGGGCTCACTCATATGTGCTGAGGGCAGGAGCTGAGGGGTCGGAGTGAGGGGCCCTGCACCAGGGAGAGTCACGGGCCCCCTCTGTCCACAGGGCCGATTCACAATCGCAGCCAAGCACCACATCTCCATTGCTGAGATCTATGAGACAGAGCTTGTGGACATTGAGAAGGTGAGTAGGTGACGGCTAGGACCGGGGCCTCCTGGTGTTGACTGAGCCTGGGCCCAGCTGTGTCCTAGCAGGAGCGGCCGAGGGGGTGGAAGGCCGCGACCTCCAGACCACAGCTTTGTGTCTCCCCAGGCCATCGCGCACTATGAGCAGTCTGCAGACTACTACAAAGGCGAGGAGTCCAACAGGTAGCCCTGGCCCTGTGCCCACTCCTCTGTGACGCAGGGCCCGCCACCCTCCCCTCAAGCCCCTCTCCTCCCGCAGCTCAGCCAACAAGTGTCTGCTGAAGGTGGCTGGCTATGCCGCCCAGCTGGAGCAGTACCAGAAAGCCATCGACATCTACGAGCAGGTGTGCCGCAAGCCCTGCCCGGTCCGTCCACCTCCCCTGCTCCATCCCTGCTCCCCTCCATGCAGCCCTCACCCTGCACTCACCTAGCTGACAGCTAATCCACTCACACCCTGTTCGCTGTCCCCGCCTCTCCTGGGCACTGCCCTGAGGCCCCAGAGCAAGGCAGCCTTGCAGAACCATGGGGAGGGTGGCCAGGGTGCCAGAGCGGGGTCCCTAGTCCTCAGTGGGAGGCAGAGCCTGGGCCCCCCTCTGCCCTGTGGGAAGGGGAGCAGCTGTTGCCGTGAGAAAGGCAGCAGCTGGCCCCGAGGGCGGGGGAGGGGGCAGGTGCTGTCCCTCTGCCCATTGCGTGCCAACTTCCCATGGGGCCTGACAGCAAGATGCCTCCTCCCTGCCATCCTGGGCACCTCAGGAGGCCCGTGGACATTCAGCTCCCCTCCCATGGGTACCCTGGCCCTGGTCACTCATGCTCGAGATCCCTCCCTGGGCTGGTCCCTGGCCCACTGCCCTGGGGTCCTAGCCTCACCCCAGGTACAGACCCACCTTCCTATTGTCCCTTGGGTTGCCTGTCCTGAGCTCACAGTGCCACCTCTATGTGGCCACAGGTGGGGACCACCGCCATGGACAGCCCCCTGCTCAAGTACAGCGCCAAGGACTACTTCTTCAAGGCGGCACTCTGCCACTTCTGCATCGACTCGCTCAACGCCAAGGTGAGCCAGCCAGAGCACCCCTCTAGCCACCTGGTCACCTCTCTTGGCAGAGGGGCCGCCTCAGACCAGAAGCCCTGGCTGTCACCATGGGATTCACCCCAGTATCCCTGTCACACCCTGGAGGCCTTTGAGTTCCCAGCTCCTGGCTGACTCAGGGCCAGGCCCTTTCCCTCATGGGTGCAGTTTTTAATTCATCCTATGAAGCAGCACTGCTGTCAGCCCGTCGTGCCGATGGAGACGCCAAGGCTGAGTTCCCTGCTGAAAGTGCGTGGCCGGTCTGCAGCCCAGCAGCCCAGATCTCTGACCGTGGGATGGCTGTGGCCGAGACCCAGGCTGCATGCCCATCCTCACTCTGAGTGGCCAGTGGGAAAGCACCGGGGAGCTGATGTGAAGTCTGCTCGCCTTGCTGGAGTTCCCTGCCCAGACCACAGGGGCTCTGCAGGGCCCAGGGCTCCCTCACGTCTGCCACCCTACTTCCTGCTGGCAGGGCAGCTGAGAACTTGGGGTTATTCAGACTGAGAGGGGTTTGAACCCAGCCTGGTCTGTGCTAGGCAGTGCTCTCCTGAGCCACCCCAGCCCCCGAGCTTGGGTTTTATCTCCACCTGGTCACCGGTGCCCTCTCTGGGGCTGTTTCCCCACCTTCAGAATGGGCTCAGCATCATTCCAGCCCCCCAGGTCCTTGCAAGGGTTAAATGTGCAGTGCCCAGCCCTTGGCCTGGCGTGAAAATATGCCCCTTTGTCCCCTTCCCTGGCACAGGCAGGCAGGGAGGTGCTGGGCACCTGCCCAGGAAACCCTCTCCCTCCCTGCAGCCATCTCCGCAGCCAGCCTGGTGCTGAGCTCAGCCCCATGGAGGTGCTGCCAGGCACAGAGCCAGGTGACAGTGGAGGGCAGCTGGGGAGGAGTGCAGAGCTGACTCAGGGCTGCCAGAGCACCCCAGTTCCCTGCCCCACTGGACCTCTGTCTCCGGTGGCCCCTGTGCTAGCTTGTCCTCTCCTTCCTTCCCTGCTGCCCAGCTGGCTGTCCAGAAGTACGAGGAGCTGTTCCCAGCCTTCTCTGATTCCCGGGAATGCAAGCTGATGAAAGTGAGCGGGGGACTTGGGGAGAAGGGTGGGACACACCCACCTGGCCCTAGTGTGGAGCAGCTGGCCGGCTGGGGGTGCCGGGCTCCAAGATTTGTCCAGTGGCTCCCCAGCACTTTTATGTTGTTTCCTTTCTCTGCTGCTTGTGGATGAGAGTGGCCAGGGGTGGCGCTAGGGACAGGGCTGGAGGCTGGGGTTCTGACTCCTGCTGTCTCCTGTCTGTGGGGGACCCCCGTTCCTGCTCAGCCCTTGGCGCTAACCCAGCCCAGGCTCTGCCTCACAAGCCTCACCCATCCTTCTCTTTGCTCACAGAAGTTGTTAGAAGCCCACGAGGAGCAGAATGTGGACAGCTACACAGAGTCGGTGAGTGGCCTGGCAGGCACATGGGTCTCCGGGGCAGGCTGCCCTCCTCTATCACGTCCTCCCTCCAGTTTTGTTTTTTTCCAGTCTCTGGCCTCCGGGCCCTGGCTATGATTCCCCTTTCCTCATCACCCTCCAGAGTCCCCACAAGTAGCCCCAGGAGTTACAGGGAATGTTGGCCACATCTGTAGATGGTGCGCTGAGGTTGGGGAGGGAAAGGCCCCTGGGGTTCACACCCCATCTCTCTGCCTGGAAAGCCATGGTCTCTGCACCCCTCCAAGTTCCCTAGGGAGACCAGTGGGCTGGCTCAGGTCGGGTGCTGTGGGTACCCCAGGAGGAGCAGGTGGGCAGCAGAGAGAAAGAAAGGAGCCGAGGACTCCCCCTCTCCCCGGGGAGCCCTCACCCTGCCAGTGTGGACCTCTCTCCCTTTCTTGGCTGTGTGCTGAACACTCTGGAACTCAGCTGTATCCAGTTCGGATTGCAGTTCAGTTCTCCAGTCTCTCCCTGGCCTCCAGGAATTTAAGCCCCTAATGAGGATAGACAACCTGTCACACTCCACCTGCCCAAGGGGGCAGGGCTTGAGGGAGGGCCGGGCACAAAGGGCCTGAGGGACAGACTCTGCTCACATCTCCAGGCCTCCAGTCCACCCTTAAACAAGGAGGCTGGGCTTTTTTTTTCTTTTTTAAACTACAGTTTTCCCCCAGAGGAAATGTTAGCCCTGTGGTAGTAAAGACATAAAAGGCACCTTCCCCACTGGTGTCCCCATGCTCCCTCTCAGAGACCAGGGAGATGGGGACCAGATAGCTCAGGCTGTGGGGCTGGGGTGGCAGGGCTGGGGTGGCAGGGCTGAGGCTGGGCTCGATGGCCTCCTCTGTGCTGGTAGGTGAAGGAGTACGACGCCATCTCTCGGCTGGACCAGTGGCTCACCACTATGCTCCTGCGCATCAAGAAGACCATCCAGGGCGAGGAGGAGGACCTGCGCTAGGCCACCACCTCCCATCCCTGCTCGTCTGGTCTGCAGCAGAGGGAGCTGGGCTGAGACTTCCACCTTCCTCCTGGCCCAGCCGGGGAGTCCCACAGGCCGCTCAGCAGCACCTCGGGCCGCCAGAGGCCAGGCCACTGTCCAGTCACCTCTGTTCTTGCTACATCCCTCACCCCTGCCTGTCTATTTAAGCCCCTAACGGTGTCCTCCACCCTGAAACCAGCTGTAGGAATCTGATTCAGACCTCCTGTGTGGGTGCTGCTAGGAGTCAGAGGCCAGCATTTGGTCCCCAGCACCTGACCAGCTGAGTTGAGTGGCTGGTTTCTGCCCCTACTTTGGCCTGTGGCAGAGCTCAGCCCAAGCGGCCACTGAGCCCTGCTCTCACCGCCAGGGGTGGCTACCCCTGCACCCTGGCCTCCTGCAGCCCCAACCTCTCAGGTTAGACCAGGGCTCTGGAGCCACCCTGCAATGCTCCTCCCCTGTGCTTGAGGTTTGGTCTGGTGGTTGGAAGCTCCAGATGCCCCAAGAAGGAAAATAAAAATCCCCACTTTTGCATGAGTCTCTTCCTCCTCGCCCCTGCTCCCCTCAGCCCTGTAGGGTGTGGAAAAGATTGACCCAGAGATGGGCTGGATGGGCCTGCAGCAGAGATGCAAGGTGGTGGGTTGGGAGGAGCCCAGGCTGGGCACTGGGCGCCAGAGCAGTGTTCATGCCCTTCCTGTGGGCCCGGAGCCTGGGGCCTGGGATTCCTCAGGGATCCTGAGCCACAGGTGGATAGAAGGTAACAGCTAGCAGCACTGTTTGGTGGAGGGGGCTGGAGGAGGCCCGTGACTCTCCTGTCCCTCATCCACACTCCCCTGGAAGGCAAGCTGAATGCCCCAATGACAGTTGTCCCATCTCTCTCTGGTGGGCAAAGTATGAGGCCTAGTGGGAGGAGACGACGGAGCCCTTTGCCCAGCAAAAGTGGGCAAGAAGCAGCCACTTCAGCCACACGTCGTCATCGGGTTGCCCGAGAGTTGAGTGAGCACCCTGGTACCTGCACTCCCTGGGCTGTGTGCCTTCCCCCTGGGGGGTGTCCTGGCCACAGGAGTCAGAGTGTCACAGCAAGATGGGTATCAGGTGAGCAGGGGGAGCAGTCATGGGAGGGGAGTTCCCATGTCCATAGCATGGCCCGTCCCCAAAACTGCCCTGTTTGTCCCCTCCAACACTCCCCCCATCAGTTAGAAATGGCTCCCCTGAGCTCATGAAGCCTCCTGAGACCTGGGGTTGGTCACCAGTCATTTGGTGCCTTAGTGGAACTGGCAGGCGACAAGGGTGTACCCTCTCCGTGCAAGGGGGGTCCAGTGACAGATCACTCAAGGTGGCATGGGCAGTTGGCTGCACTACGTATGGTGTGCACAGGGTCTGCAAATGATGTACAATGTGCACAGGGTCTCCATGCCTTTCCTGTCATTCCAGGGACAGGACGCACACAGGAGCCCCAGGATCCTCCAGGAGAAGGGCTAGTTTGCAGCCTGTCACCACCACTCACTATGGTGCCAGCCAAGGACTCACCTGAGTCCCCACTTCACCCTGTGGAGTGGACGATAAATCTGCAGAGCGCTTGCAAGGATTCTGTTAAACATTTGTGACTGATACTGTGCCATCATATTAAAGCTCAATAAATGAACCAGGGGGAGTAACAGCAGGCCTCTGCAGAGTGATTGTTTAGGAATCAAGAACTGGGGCTAACGAGACTGTCACCACACAGGCACTCGGTAAAGGAGGTGGTTATTTGCCACCAGGAGAGATGGTTGGATCTTTTCTCCTGGGGTAGAAACACATTTCCCACTTTAAAAGGTGATGTTAAAATTACGAACTATTGGGCCAGGGATTTAGCTCAGTGGTTCCACCGCCTGCCTTGCTAGCGGGAAGTCCCGAGTTCGATTCCCGATACCAAAAAAAAAATTCTACCTTCCACACAGCCTGGTTGAGGGCTATGCGCCCCCCCCGCCCATCCCTGGTCGCACTCCGGGCCGCCCCTTTCCTTGGCTAGACTGGCCAGAAGTGCACAAGCGCATTGGAGCAAAATTAAATGGGCGGGCGAGCTGGGCGCCATGTTGGTAAAGGGCAGCGACCGGGGCTTCTGTACGTCATCAGTCTGCGCCTTGGTCGGGCACTCGACGGTTCGGATCGCTTCTGAAGTAGTGGCCACGGCGCGACCTGCGGAGGGGCTTGATGGGGGAGGCGGCCGTGGCCGTGGGCCCTTGTCCCCTGCGCGAGGACAGCTTCACGCGCTTCTCGTCGCAGAGCAATGTGTACGGTCTGGCCGGCGGCGCCAACGGGCGCGGGGAGCTGCTGGCCGCCACCCTTAAAGGCAAAGTGCTCGGCTTCCGCTACCAAGACCTCCGGCAGAAAATCCGGCCCGTGGCCAAGGAGCTGCAGTTCAACTATATCCCCGGTGCGTGGCGCCATGGAGCCGGGGTGGGGGTGGATCATGGAACGAGGTGTTGAGAAGGCCTATGAGGCAGTGATCATCATGATGGGAGATTGGGATCGAGTGATTGAACAGAGTCAAGGCTGATAGTCACTGGGGTCAGGGGACAGGAATAATAGAGGCCTGAAAGTGTTTAGGGTTCAGTAATCCTCAAGCATAAACATAAGTGTCTGGCGTGGTGGTGCACGCCTGTAATCCCAGCTGCCTGAAATGCTGAGGCAGGAGGATCACAAATTTGAGCCCATCCTGGGCAACCTAGCAGCTTAACAAGACCTTGTCTCAAAATAAGACATAAAAAAAGGTCTGGGGATGTAGCTCAGTGCGAAGGCCCTGGGTTCAACCCCCAGTACCATAAAAAAAGGGGAAGGGAGATCCTGGTAGCTATTGGTTACAGGTGATGATGCTGCTGCTCGCTGATCAGAGGTTGCCATGTGGGGTACCAGACGTCTCAAAACGTGAATTTTGAATTGTCCCCTCCCAGTGGATGCAGAAATTGTCTCCATCGACACCTTCAACAAGTCGCCCCCAAAGCGGGGCCTAGTAGTGGGGATCACGTTCATCAAGGTACTGAGGACACCTTCCACTCACCCATGCCCTCCTCCCTACACTTGGGGTGAGTCCCACCAGCCTGCCTCAGAACCCTGTTGCTGCCCCTGAGGCCACTTTCCTCCTGCAGGATTCAGGGGACAAGGCCAGCCCCTTCCTTAACATTTACTGTGACTACGAGCCTGGCTCTGAGTACAACCTGGACTCCATCGCCCGTGAGTGTGACCTGGGGCTGGAGGGTGGGAGCAGGGCCTGGCAGGTGCCAGTGGCCCATCCACCTGTGTCGCCCTGCAGAGAGCTGCCTGAACCTGGAGCTCCAATTCACGCCTTTCCAGCTGTGCCATGCAGAGTGAGTGCTTCTCAGACCCCTTCTTACACTGGGACTCAGTTCCCCATCTGGAAAATAAAGGGGTTGCACTAGACCAGGGATTGAAAACTAGGACAGCTGTAGGGGCCAGAGAGGTGATAGGAAAGGGAAGCTCCCAGTGCAGTAGCACAGAGAGCATGGGGTGAGAGTGCGGAGCACTGTAGCAGATGGGAGACCACACCTGCCCGTAGTCAACAGGTTCTGTTGTTCCTTTTTTTTGAGACATAGTCTCACTGTGTAGCCCAGGCTGGCCTCGAACTCATGGCAATCCTCCTGCCTCAGCCTCCTGAGGGCAGGAAATACAGGCATGTGCCACTGCTCCTTTTTAGAGTATTGTGCTTCTAGAGTGAGAGTGGCCCAGACAGCCTGGGGACCACCATCTTGTCATCTCCAAAGCAGATAATTTGAGTGAGTTCATTGAACACTTGTGTGCTAGTTGATTCTGACATTCCCAGATCCGGAGATGCTGAGTTTCTTTTATTCTGTTTGTTGGTTGGTTTTGTTTTTTGGGACGGGGTCTTGCTGTGTAGTCCTGGGCCTCAAACTGGCAGCGATCCTCCTGCCTCAGCCTCCCAAGTGCTGGGATTACAAGTGTGCACCACCACACCCACCTGAGTTTTGTAGCGTTATAAGCTCTAAGACTCCAAGATTTGAATGTTCTATAATTCTACAGAAGCCAGTGTCTTTTGAGATTCTATATAAGGTCCTGCCATTCTCCTACTGCACAGAGATAGAGTAAGGAACATCTAGAAGCCTGAAGTTCTCAAATCTCAAAATATGTGGCTTTCATTCCAGAGCTTGTATGACACTGATGGTCTGACGGAGCAAAGTTGGCAGACTTGGGGCGAGGGCCACAAAATCTTTCTTTCTTTTTTTTTTTTTTTTTTTAGTATTTCACCCATTTTATTTTTTTTCACAAAATCTTTCTATAAAGGCCCAGGTAATAAATATTATTAAATATTAGGCTTTGAGAGCCAGACAGCCCCTAGCACACTTACTTAACTCTCCCACTGTAGCAAGAAAGCAGCCACTGACCCTGTAAATGCATGTATTCCAGTAAAACTTTATTTACGAGGAGCTGGGGTATAGCTCAGTGGTAGAGTGCTTGCTTACCATGTGCAAGGTCCCGGCTTCAATCCTCAGAACTTAAGAAAAACTTTGCTCATAAAAATGGTCAGTGAAACCAGGGATGGTGGTACATACCTGTAATCCCAGCACTCTGGGAGGCTGAGTCAGGAAGATCACAAGTTCAAGTCCAGCCTGGGCAATTTAGGGATTAGTGAGACCCTGTCTCAAAAAAAAAAAAATTACAAATTTTACAAAATGGCTAGGGATGTGGCTCCATGCAGAGACCCTGGTTTCAGTCCCCAGTACCAAAAGAAAAGAAGGAAGGGAGGGAGGGAGGCAGGCAGGCAGTTGGATTTGGGCTGCAGGTCCTAGGCCGCCAACCTATGGTCTAGCAGATGAGAGTCCTAAAAGTGGAGATTGTAATCCACTAATGTCGCAGGTGCTAGGATTGGGGTGTTCCACTGTCCTGAGTCATCCATGTCCATGATGGCAATTTCCAGAAGTTCCAGTCTTAAAGGAGACAAAACAGAACTTGCAGAATGCTGGGTCCCGGGTTAATGAGGTCCTCGCATGCTGAGGTTCTAGCAGGAGGGTCGAGCATGCTGAGTTTCTGTGGCACTGATGGGGGTAGCTCCTCGAGCCCAGGAGTCTGAGGGCTCCCACCAGTTGTATTTCAGGGAGCCAGGGTCCTAAGGAGCTCAAGTCTGAGATTCTCACACTGGATCTACTGTTGGAATCCCAGAGTGCTGGGGTTCTTGCAGGCAAGAATTTTTGCAGGAGAAATTTCTAAAACACACTCCGGTTCTTCCACATCCTTGATGTCTCTGCTTTCAGAGTCCAGGTTGGGGATCAGCTGGAGACCGTGTTTCTCCTGAGCGGGAATGACCCGGCCATTCATCTCTACAAGGAGGTGAGACTCGGCACACCCCTGCCAGGGGTCGCATGGGCTGGCATTCGGGCACAAGCCTGAGGCTGGCAGCTGACTCGAGGGGCTCGGGATGGGTTTCGTTCCCCAGAATGAGGGGCTGCATCAGTTTGAGGAACAGCCTGTGGAAAACCTCTTCCCAGAGCTCACAAACCTGAGCAGCAGGTAGGAGAGGCCCTCAAAGAGGCCGGGGGACCAGGGCTGTGACCTCGGAGAACTCAGGCTGTGAGGTCCCAGGGCTCCAGGGAGGGGCGGATGCTCCTGAGAAAGCACAGGTGTGGGGCTGAGACTCTGTCATGGCCTCTGCCTGTCCCTCTGTCTGCCCATCCACCCTCCTGCCAGTGTCCTCTGGCTGGACGTCCACAACCTCCCCGGCACGTCACGTCGCCTCTCAGCCCTGGGCTGTCAGAGTGGTTATGTCCGCGTCGCCCACGTGGACCAGCAGCGCCGAGGTGAGGGCCAGGCCTGGAGCTGGGGTGGGGAGCCGGAAGCTGGGAGCAGGGCAGGGCCCTGAGTCCTGGGTCTCTACACAGAGGTCTTGCAGATGTGGACGGTCCTGCAGGATGGCCCCATCTCCCGCGTGATCCTGTTCAGCCTCGAGGCCCCTGACCGTGAGTCCTGGGCCCTGGAGTCAAACTTCTGCCTTTCCCTCTGTGGCCTGACCCTCACTCCTCACAGAGTGACTTTCTCTGCTCCCCACTCTGGCCTCCTCACTCCCATGGGCTGACCGCTGCCCAGCACTTGGGCCCCTGGGGTTGCTGCTTCCTGTGCCTGTGGGTCTCTTACCGGATCGCCTTTGATCTGATCTCTGCTCCCTAACTACGCTCCATCTTCTGTCCCTTAGGTTGTTCTTTACTCTTATTTCTCCCCCTGGGTTTTATTCCCCAGCCCTCGCTCTGCGGTCTAACCTCTAATCCTCCCTGTGTGGCACAACTTCCAAACTTCTCCCTGAGATATGGCCTGCATTCCTCCTACTAGCGGGGAAGTGGGGACGAGGAGGAGCCTGGAAGCCGTCCCCTCAAGCCCGTGCCCTCCCCGTTCGCATCTCATCTGCAGAGGCCAAGGACAGGCCACGGCAGGAGGAGTACAGCGTGCTTGTGGCCAGCATGGTGGAGCCAGCCGTGGTGTACCGGTGAGGGACTGGGCCGAAGCTGGCGTTTATGTGCCGTGCGCCGTTAACCTTGTGGTTCTGGGCAGGAAATCCCTCTGGGTGAGGTCCCTCAGAGGTGGGCAGGTAAAGATGTTTGTGACCCTGGCAGGGGGCCAGATGTATTTAAGTCTGGATTTCGGGAAGGCCCAGAGGACTTGGAACATCGGCCAGTTCCCATGGTATAAATGTTCCCAGCATGGTAGATTTTGAGCCACCAACGCGATGGCAGAAGAGCCATCAGAAAATGTTCCCTTCACTCTTGTGAGCCAGCACCAGCCAGCTCTGGGGACAGTGGAGACGTCCAAGCTGGGGTCGAGCTCACCGTGATCCCCAGGGGGTGTCTGTGTCCAGGCTGGGGACAAGGGGATCCCCAGGAAGAACAGTGTACTGTCCACTTGGGAGAGAGGTGGCCCAGCCCCCAGGGGTGGATGAACAGGCCTGAGATGAACAGTGTGGGTGACCAGGCTGACCCTTTGCTGGGACCACGAGTCTATGCATTTTGGAGGCGAGGGAGCCCAGGGTTCAGGAGGAACGATGCATTTAGGGCCGAGGAGGGCGGCGGCACGGGTAACCCGTTCACGTCGCCCTGAGTCTGTCCTCAGTCTCCCTGTGGCACTGGAAACCCTCAGGGACCTGCTGAACCGGGGCCTTGAGGACCAACTTCTCCTGCCCGCCAGTGACCAATTTGACAGTGTCCTCTGTGGCCTGGTCACCGATGTGGACTTGGATGGACGGCCGGAAGTCCTGGTGGCCACCTATGGACAGGTGCGCTGGAGGGATGCGTCCTCCACACCCACCCATGTCCTTGTGCTGACCCCGTCATCCTGCGTGACCTTGACCCTTCACCCCTGCAGGAGCTGCTCTGCTATAAGTACTGTGGCCCGGAGTCGGGGCGCCCGGAGGCCAAGCATGGCTTCTGCCTGCTGTGGCAGCGGAGCTTCTCCAGCCCCCTGCTGGCCATGGCGCACGTGGACCTGACCGGCGACGGGCTGCAGGAGCTGGCTGTGGTCTCCCTGAAGGGGGTGCACATCCTGCAGGTACCTAAGGAGCCCAGGCAGCCCTGTGCCCCCTGCTCCAGTGGGGTCTAGGGAGGAAGCGAAGGAGCCAGGCCCAGAGATGGGCAGAGGGTCCTGGCAGAGGCCACTTCTAGCTCCCAGGGTGGGTGGAGCACCCGCTGGTGAAGGAAATTTAGAGGCTACATCTGTTAACTCCCACCCCAGGTCCTCCCTCAGCCTCCCCAAATCCCACTTGTCATTCTGCTCTCAGACTTGTGATCTTCCTGCCTCAGATCCCAAGTAGCCAAGTTACAGACACGCGCTGCCATGCTGGCCTTACAGCGTACTTCTTACCTTTCCCTCCAAGTCCAACCCCCAGCCCTTCCTCCTCAGCCAGTTTGCAACTTTCTGCTGAGTCTAACCTGGGGCCCTTCTACTTTGATCTGACCTCTCAAATTTCTATTAAGGTCCAGCCTTTCGCTGTACTCTAACTTCTGAGCCTCCCCCAGCAGGCTGGGGGCTGTGATTCCATTCCGGTGGTCCAGGTCCAGCCTGACACCCTCCAGTGCAGTTTCCCCTCTGCTTGCTGCAGCCTCACCGCCGACCCTTCCCACCACGGCCCATGCTTGCTTCCTCATTCTCTCTGACCTGACTCCAGGATTCTTTTTGGTGTAGTCTAACCTGGGATCTTCCGCTGGGGCTTCACCTTTGCTGCTACACTGCCCTAGTCTTTGCATGGGCCTATCCCTACACTCCAGTCCTCAGGAGGGGGGAGAAAGGTTAGACCCCAGAGGAGAGGCTCGAGGTTAGACCCTGGTGTCACTTTAGTCCCCACCCCACCCCTGGGGTCTGTCCTCATCCTCTCAGGTGGGAACCTCGCTCCCCTCACCTCCCCTCGCTGTGTAATCTCTCAGCTTGCTCCATCTCTCCCCTTCCGCTGACATCCAGGCTCAGTCTCTCACTTTGGGGCTGGGCTGTGACCCCACACAAGCTCTGTCCAGGCCTTCACCCTGTCTCAGGGACCCTTCCCATCCCACACCACGCTCTGCTCTCTGCCCTCCAACCTCCGCCGAGCTCCTGGCTTGGGGTGTCCAACTCCAGACCAGCCTGCTTGCCCTGTACCCCTCGCCCTGCCTCACCTGGCTCCTCTTCCTCTTGTTCCCCACAGCACAGCCTGATCCAGGCCTCTGAGCTCGTCCTGACCCGGCTTCAGCGCCAAGTGGAGCAGAAGAGACAGCAGTCACAGGGACCCGGGGTCAGTGTGGGTCCGGGGCCTGGCGAGACCACAGCCTCCTGACCACTTCCCCACTCCCTCCAACTGTTGGTGGGGATCAGTGTCCCCAAGGAGGGGGTACTCCCCCCAGACCCAACCCACTCCCCTGTGTCTCCATGCCCCTCGTTCCAAATGGAACGGTCCCACCCAGCCCGCTCCATCCCTGTGAGTATTGGCCGGATGATAATTATTTGTGTCCACGGAACAAAGGACTCAGCTGTTTCCATGCTTTGGTTCAAAACACTTGTTGAGCACCTGCCGTGTGCCGGGTTCTGTGTTGGATGCTAGAGTCGCCCAGAAGAATGGGGGGAGGAGGACTGAGGGAACCCAGGAACAGGAGAGAGGTGAGATCCCCAGTAGGCCTCAGGAGGGAAGTGAGGTGAGGCCGCTGTGACTGGACGGGTGAGGGAAGGCTCTCCAGTTAGACCCCAGCACGTGATATGAGGGCAGATGCTAGCGGAGAGCTTGGTGGAGAAGTTAGTAAAAATTACTGTGGTTAGATCTGGGCAGTGGGGGCTGGTGGGACCCAGGATGTCCGGGCTGGGAAGGGGCGAGCTTAGACCTCATCTGAAAAGCCCAGAACGGTGGGGAGCCAGGGAGTGGACCAGACTGATTTCCCCAGCCTGCAGCTATAGGAACTGCCCACTCCCATGGTCGCTTCTCTGGAACTGGAGGGACTCAGAGGCCTGCATCTCAGGGACCGGTGGAAGGGGGGAGTGACAGAAGTCTTGTCCTCCCCCTCCACAAGCCAGGAATAGAATCCGGGTCAGCAGGGTTGGGGAGCGCTTGCTGAGCAGGATCCGGGCTGGGGGCAGGGCTGGGGGCGGGGTGATGCCTGCTTCCTGACCGCAGGGCTGGGGGCCCAGGGTCATCCGGCCACGTGTCTGCCTCTCACCTGCTGCCGCCATGGAAGTCTGACCACCCGCCCTGACGGTGAAGCCCCAGCCCCCCTTCTTGACAAGGGTTTTAGGGAGCTAGGAGCCTACCAGTTCTTGGCCAGGCCCAGGCGTGGGAAGTGGAGGGAGCTGGATCCTCTCCCTCCTGGCAGCGGACCTGAGGATGCCCAGCCAGCAACGCAGTGGGCACGGGCTGCCAGCATGAGCAGGGTCTCCCCGCCCCACGCCTCCTGCCTGTGGAGACCGAGTGCGGGAGACCTGCTCCGAGCTCCCTGGCCTGTCCTGGGTGGGCGCGGGGCCCTGCGGTGGGATCTGGTGACTGTCCTGATGCTTAGGTCTAGGATGTGTGATGTGTGGTCAGGTCCCGACCCGCGTCTGTGTGTGCACTTCCGGGCTCTGGGCGGTGAGTTCAGGAGCCCCTGCCACCTGCCGGGGCCTTTACAGTTTGCTTTCTGACTCCTGGCTCGTCTCAGCCTGCAGCAATGTGGTGGTTAAGGGTATAGAGGCTTGAGCCACCCACCACCCGTGCCTCAGTCTCCCCACCTGTAAAGCGGAGTTAGTAACCCAGGGTTGGTGTGAGGGCTGATTGTGTCAACACGTGTCTGGCTTGTTAAAATGTCCCCCGGGGCAGTGCCGGCCGAGGAGAGGGCTGCGAGGCTGGCAGCTGTTCTGCAGGGGTGTCCGCGGGGCTCCCGGAGCAGGCACAGTGTGTGAATTTGGATCTGACTCCGGCCCAACCTCCCCCGCGAGCCTGAACTATTTGTGGCGGTGTTTGCATCTTGTGGCCCTTGTATGGGTCGGAGACTCGGCCAGGGCGTGTGCGGAAGGGGGCCGGGAATGCCTGTGACACACACCCGGGCACATGCACACGCGCGCGGGCGCCTCCGCTGCTGTCCCCGGCCCTGGTGCTGAACCCCAACCCGGGTCGGAGGCGCGATCCTCCCCAAGCGCGCGCGCGCCCTAGGCCCCGCCCCCGCCCACCGGCCAGTGCTGCCCCCGCCCCGCCCCGGCTCCGCCCCCTCCGCCGTCGCGCGCCCCCCCTCCCGCGGCCCTCCCCCTGCTCCTCCTCCCCCGCTCCCTCCCTCCCCTCCTCCCGCTTCCCTCTCTCTCTGCTCCACTCCTCACTAGCTCTCTCCCTCTCCTCGGGCGGAATCGCCCACCGCTGCCAGCCCCGTGCTGGGGGGACCCGTGCCAGGCTGCAGCCGCAGGTAAGGGACCCCCAGTGTGCGGGGGTGGGTCGGCACCCGGGTGCGCGATTGGGGTGCGCTGGAGAAGCGGGGCGCTTCCCTGGCTGGCGCTTCCCTGGATGGGGTCGAACGGGAGGGGGTGACCTGCGGAGAGGGGGTACCCCCTGAGGCCGCCGGGCGGGGTGCGGGACGGGGCAACCCCACCCGGGGACCCGGGCGCCCCCCGACCCTCGCCGCCCCCTTCCGGGGTCTGGATCTCGTCTCCGCCTCTCTGGGGGTTCGGGCTGGTAGGTCCGGCCGCCTCTCGAGGTCCCTCTGGGGGTCCCTCTCTGCCCAGGTTGCTCTAGCTTTCTGGGCTCTGGCTCCAAGCCCCCCCCCCTTCTTTCTGCCTGCCCCTTGCGCCATCTCCTATCTCTGTCTCTGTGCCCCTGTCTTAGCCTTCTTGGGGCTCTGTCTGTCCCTCTCCGTGTCGGTTTGTCTGTCCTGTGTCTCCTCCCTCCTCCTCCCGCCCCTCCTGCTCCCTGGGCAGCTCAGGCCCGGCTCCCCTGGCCTCTCCCTCTCCCCCAGCCAGTTAACTCCCCTCCCACACACCTTTGCTCCATCCCGGCTCAGGGAGACCCAGAGAGAGGGGTCCCCCTGTCCCCCAGCCTGGCATCGCCCCCTCCCTCCCCAGGACAGAGCCCCCCCCCCCCGCCGCCGTCTTGCTGGCCCTCGAGGCGGGTCCTGCTGGCTGTCTAACCTGTAGCCTTTGCCACAGCGTGGGCTTGTCCTTTCCCCAGTCTAAGGGCTCCGTTCCTCGCCGTGTGGACTGGACCAGTCCTCCCACAGTCTGACTTCCATATCTCATGCTGCTTGTCCGGTTCCTGATTCATTTTCTCTTTTGACAACTATTGAGCGATGTTCCACTGTTAGGTGCTGGGTCAGGCCCGGCCAGTGCTGCCTGCAGTCTCCCTTCCATCCCTCGAGACCTGCCAGCCTCAGACCTGTCTCTCCTGGGGACCCTGTCATGTCCTGGGACAGTGGGTGCCTCCCGTGCCTCCCTGGAGAAGGTGGGTGAGTGGGAGGCAGGGCAGGTGTGAGCCTGGGCCTGGGCTGGAGCTGGATGGGGCTGTGTGAGTGTGTGAGTGTGAGTGTGCATGCATCTGTGTGTCCACCGCCTCCCAGCCCTGAGCGAGGTCCCCGCCCCTGTGTGAGATCGCACTGCCTGTGCTCCAGATGGCTTGAAAGGGCACCAGGTTAGGAGTCCCAGGCCTTGACTCGCCACCCCTGCCCTTCCCCTGACTCGAAGCTGTGTGACTTGGCCAAGTGCCTCCCACTCTGGGCCTCAGTTTACCCGTCAGTGCATGGCAGCCCCCAACATGGACGCTCTTGACTGAGTGATCCCCAGGCTGGCACAGTGCAGGGTGGTGTGAGAGCCCCCCTCCAGCTCCTCCAGGATCCCCATACCTCCCCACACCTCCCCACTCTGGGTGGCAGCTTGAGGAGAGCACCCAGCCCCATCCCAAGCCTTCAGCTCCCAAGGCCCCCAGAAGAAGAACTGGGGCACCCACCACTGACCCAGCCGACTGGGGGCCCCCAGACCCTGGGCAGGGTGCTGGCTGCCCTCCTCCCACTCCCCCTCCCTGCTCAACCCGACCCTTTCGCCCCTGCTTGCTAAGCCCAGATTAGGTTCCAGGGCTGCTGGTGGAGGGAGGCAGAGGCAGGAGCGGGAACACAGCGAGCTAGCAGTCGCTGGCGGGCGAGACAGGGCTTACAAATATTTATCCAATGCCTTCTCTCCCTGACCCCTCCTCCCCAGGGCCCCAGCAAGAGGAAACCGGGTTTTGCAGGAAAAGGCGCTGAGCTGGGCTGCTTTCCCCAGCCCCTAGGGAGGGCGGCCAGGCGGGCAGGGACATCAGAACTGCGGTGGAGGAACAGCTGGTTAGACTTTGGGGGGAACTTCCCAGCATGAATCCAGGCCCCTGCTTCTGAAAGCCAAAGAGGAGGAAGGGAGAAGGGAGCCTGGGAGGCTTTGTTTTGGTTCCTGGTGGGTTTGTAATTACGCCTAAGTGGTTGCTAATTAGGGGGCTGCTAATTAGAGGTATCATTAGAGGCCTTGGAGGGGACTAAGTGTGCTGTGGCCCTTTAAGAATCACCCCCTCCCCAGGAGTGCACGAACTCTCCCTCTCTCTCTCCCTCTCTCTCTCTCTCTCTCTCTCTCTCTCTCTCTCTCTCTCTCTCCCTCTCTCTCTCTCTCTCTCTCTCTCTCTCTCTCTCTCTCTCTCTCTCTCTCCCCTTTTGGAGAAGTTCTGCCAACATTCTGCCTCTCTCCCCCAGAGGCGCTGGCTCTCAGCCTGTGGGCGAAGTTGGGGGCCGACTGCGGGTTAGACTCCCAGAGCAACTCTGCAGACGGAATGAAGTTACCAGGAGGCCTGAGGCTGGCAGCCAGGGGTCTGAGAGGGAGGAGGCCTCGGTGACACCCGCCTCCCAATCCACAGCCCTAGTTTATAGGTGACGGTTACCATGGCAACATGAGGGCGGGGCCCAGGAGCTCCAACCTGGGGTCCCTCCTGGAGAGCAAACCTGGGAGCCATAGCACTGGAGCTGGGTGACTTTGGGTCCGTTTTTTACCCTCTCTGAGCCTGGTCCTCTCCCCCACAGGGAGACACTTTGGATGGGACAGTCAGGGAAGGAGTGGGTGTGTGGGAAGGAAGGAGTGTCAGCCTGGAAGGCCCAGAGCAGGAAGTCCGCCTGGTGTCTGAGCAGCAGCGAAGGGGGCAGAGTGGGTGCAGCAGGCACGGTGAGGGGACAGCGCATGAGACCTTGGGGACCAGGGAGGTGACTTGAGCTCGGACAGCCAGGGAGGGCTCTGGTGTCTGTGAGGAGACCTAGACAGTGCAGGTGGGGAAGTGCTGAAGCCCACAGGTGGGCAGGAACCCTGTGTCCCTGTGCGAAGGGGTTGTCATCCTGCAGCGGCTGGGAAAGCCCCGATCTGACAGGGACACTGGAGAAACCAGCCACTGCTACCACACAGGGAGGGGTGTGGAGGAGACTCCCATGGCCCCCCCTGAGCCCCACACAGACAGACAACGCCTACTGCAGAAGGCCCAAGCTGAAACCATCCGGGTCACCTAGACAGTGGGGGCCTCTGCCGCCCCCACTGGGTTACATAGCGATCTTTTGTACCTGGCCTTCTCTCCCTCCCACTGTTGTGTCACTGGGGCCCCCTATGTGGTCGCACAGCCCAAACTTCCTCCCTGTTCAGTGCTGCATGATATTCCACTGCGAGCCGGCTGATTTCTCCTGGGTCCATTCCTAGGAACAGGATTGCTGAGTAACAGAGTGTATGATCCTGCCAGATCTTCCCAAAACACTTTGGCCAATTTATGTTCCCACCAGCATCACACAGGGGGCCCTCTCTCCCTTACTGTCCTGCCTCTTTCTCTCTGTGCCTCTGCTCTCCTCCATGTCTCCTTCCTCCTCCTATGTGTGTCCTCAGCTCTGGCCCTCCCTCCCTGTGGCCCAGTAGGGCTTTAGCTTGTGTGACTGGGTGGGGCCCGCCCCTCTCACCCACTCCTCCTCTTCCTCCCTAGGACCCCACCATCCCCCATGGCGGCCCTGGCCTTGGTGGGGCTCGCACTCCTCCTGGGGGCTCCCCTGTGCTCAGGGGGGGCCACCCCCACCCCTTCCCTGCCACCTCCCCCGGCCAATGACAGCGACACCAGCACAGGGGGCTGCCAGGGCTCCTACCGCTGCCAGCCCGGGGTGCTGCTGCCCGTGTGGGAGCCCGACGACCCATCCCTGGGGGACAAGGCGGCGCGCGCTGTGGTGTACTTCGTGGCCATGGTCTACATGTTCCTGGGCGTGTCTATCATCGCCGACCGCTTCATGGCATCCATCGAGGTCATCACGTCCAAGGAGAAGGAGATCACCATCACCAAGGCCAACGGCGAGACCAGTGTGGGCACCGTGCGCATCTGGAACGAGACCGTGTCCAACCTCACGCTCATGGCCCTGGGCTCCTCGGCGCCCGAGATCCTGCTGTCTGTCATCGAGGTCTGCGGCCACAACTTCCAGGCGGGCGAGCTGGGCCCAGGCACCATCGTGGGCAGCGCCGCCTTCAACATGTTCGTGGTCATCGCTGTTTGCGTCTACGTCATCCCCGCCGGCGAGAGCCGCAAGATCAAGCACCTGAGAGTCTTTTTTGTCACTGCCTCTTGGAGTATCTTCGCCTACGTCTGGCTTTATCTCATCCTTGCTGTGTTTTCCCCGGGTGTGGTCCAGGTGAGCCCTTTTGGTGCTTGTGCAAAATCCAGAGGGTTGCCGATCTGTGTATATGAGAGGGGCACGCTCACATCCCAGGGGGCCGCCAGGTGGTTGTGCAGGTTGCACACTGCATAGGGAGTTTGGACCACAGAGAGCAAAGCGGGGCTGGAAAGCCATTGGTCCTTACAAGCCCTGCCTGTGGCAGGTGTGCGGAGCACTCTGGGGGCAGGGGAAGGGGTGGTACACTGTACCCATGCAGAAGGGTGCTTTTTAACTCTCATGAGGGCCTCGTGTGTGATCTGTGTAGTACACACCAGGTTTGATCACATATTTACCCGGATTCCATGTCTTTTGCATAATTTATTTCTGCTCTTGGAATAAGACGTCTCATTTGCATAATTCATGCAACATTAGCATAAACCAGCCCTGTGTTTTCTGACAGTGCTAATTGGTTGGTTAACTTAGTGGGATTTACATAATGCATCCTATCCTCGGCCTGCAGGCACGGGCACATCTGCACACTTCAGCTCCACGGCCCCAGATACACATGGTTTGCATAATTCATTCATTATTCATCATCGGTTTCTGATGTCAAGGTAATTTATGCCGCTGCGGTGTAATTTATACTCCCGTCCAATCCAGCATGGGTGCGGGTTCAGTGTCCACTTTGCATACTTCATCCCAACAGCGTTTAGGGCGCATGGGCATCGCTTTCACCTTCACTCTCAGGATCCTTCACCTCCCCGTCGGCTCCCCCTGGGTAGCACAGTCTTCCTGTGAGACATTTGCTTCATTTATCCCCCACACAACTCCAAGGCTGCCACTGACATTTGCATAATTTATTTATGGGCCTGGCCTCTTTCCTCTGCCCACACAGATTTAATCTGCAGCACTGGCTTCATTCACTCTTGTGTGTAATTTGTTCTGGCCAAGGCCTTCCAGTGCCGCACTTCTTTGCAGGAAGCCTCTAAGGCTGGAGATAGCAAAGTGCTTGGAGAGTGATGTGTAAAGTGGGCCTGCCATGAGGAAAGGGGGCTGAGGGCCAGGAGATGAATCGGTCGGGGAGAAAGTCACACAACTGACTGGAGACTGGAGGCTGAGTTTCCTGGCTTCTGCGGTGAAAAGTCCAGGAGAGGCATCGCAGTTTTCGGGTGTCCAGACGTAGGTTTCTGGAACAGCTTTTGAGGAGGATTTACACCAAGACTGTAAAAAGAGAAGAATGGACCCCATGGGGGAGAGGTGGGGTGGGGCGGGGCACGGATGGTCCTCTCTGAGGAGGAGCCTCCGCCTCCGGGGACAGAGTGAAGGTGCAGGATGCAGGTGGGGAAGCGACCATAAGGGGTCCCTCCAGCAACACCATGGGGACTGGAATTCCAGGACTTTCCTAGAGCCCTGGGGAGTGGGAAGCTCCAGTGGCCTCTGAAGGCCTCCACCTCCGTGATGGCTGTGACCCCAGGTGAAGCCCACCCCCCTCTGGGCCTCAGTTTCCACATCTGAACCAGGAATGAGGTCGGATTAAATCCCAGCATCCCCTCTTGACAACAAAGGTTTTGTTACAGCCCCTTGGCCCTGTGATAGGACTGGAAGGGACTAGGAGCCTGAGGCCGGGGCCTGGGCCAAATCCCACCTCTGCTGCTCGCTAGCTTTGTGACCCTGGGTAAGTTTCTCATCTGCCCAGTGCCTCAGTTTCCCCACCTACAAAACGGGGCTCAGCGTGGTGCTGACTTTCTAGGGCAGCCATGAGAGTCAACGGAATGGCTCTGTGCAGGGCACGGAACCAAGTGCCTGGGACAGAGTACACGTGGCTCACACTTGTGCCGAAGGAGTAGAGCGGGAAGGAAAAGGCCAGAACGTGGGTGCAGGAAGTCAGGGCAGAGCTGGCGGCACAGGGTCAGAAATGTGCACATCCGGCCTGTGGAGCCACACAGGGAAACTCTGCATTTGCAGACACCCTTGGGGCTCTGGACACCCGCATAATGAACAGAGTTTTGCAGACAAAGTTATCCAATGAGAATTCCTTTTTTTTCTTTTGTGTGTGTGTTTTTTGAGGCAGGGTCTCACTGCGTAGGCCTCAAACTTGTGGCAATCCTCCTGCCTCAGCCTCCCCAGTACTGGGATGATAGCCGTGCACCACTGCACCCGCCATGAGAGGCTCTTTTTTCTTCCTTTTCTCCCCCCCCACCCCCCCCACCCGCAATACTGGGAACTGAACCCAGGGCCTTTGCACTAAGCTACCTCCCCCACCCCATGGCCTTTAATTCTGAGACACAGTCTTGCTAAATAGCTAAGTTGCCCAGGCAGGGCTGGAACTTGCCATCTCCTGCCTCAGCCTCCCAGTGCTGGGGTCGAAGGCATGTGCCATCATGCCCGGCTGTGCAGCAGAAGTTCTGGAGGGAGGAAGGACGTGGGACAATTCTGTTTTGTGCGGGGGCTGTCTGACCACAGTGCCACCCCACTCTGATGCCGAACCAGCAGCATTTGCAGTGCCCCCTCCAGGGCCTCAGGGAGCCACAGTCCCCGGGGTAGGCAGAAGGACGGCCTGAGCCTACTAGGACCAGCTTTTCTTCACCCGCAGGGAGGAAATTCAGGCCAGGAGGCAGAGGGTTTGGTCTGAGTAACAGAGCTGCGAGCAGTTGCTCCTGAGGAGAGGGCTCATCTCAGGCTGGGCTGGAAATCCCACTTCCCTCACAGTCCTGCCCACAGCTCCGCTGGGCTCTGCAATTTCCAAGTCTCAGAGCTGTCAGTAAACAGTGACTATGGATGTGGAGATTGGATCTTAAAAGATACTTCCCTACCAGGCTCATGTACAAGGAACTTCTGGGCCACATGGCTCTAACTACCCTCCAGTCTGCCCTTCTTTATCTCTAACCACAGAGGTAACATTGGAGTCTTTGCGCAAGGTGAGCAGGCCAGTCTTGGTGGTTGCTCCCTGCCCACGAGCAGACAGTATCTCTGACTTCAGTGAACCCAAGAGAATCAGCCTTGTGGTAATCGTAGACTGTGTTCAAATCGCTTCTTTTTCTTTTCTTTCTTTTTTTCTGAATCTTGCTATACAATTCAGGTTGTCCTTGAATTCACTGTGTAGCCCGGGCTGGCCTCAAACTCGAAGTGACCCTCCTGCCTCAGCCTCCAGAGTGCTGGGATCACAGGTGTGAGCCACCACACCTGACACTGTTAATCACAGTTTTGTCCCCTAAGGGCCACATAAATCAAAGGAAGGAGAGGCTGGCAAGGGGCAGCCACCAGTGGCAGTGGGTTTGAGGGAATGCTGGGGAGCAGAGAGCCACCGCTCAGGACAGTGGGGATCTGGGGACGTGGAGGCCTGCAGGCAAAGGAAAAGATGGAGAGAACAGGGCAAGAAGAGACACAGGCTCTGCCCCGACAAGGGCTGGGCCATGGAGAGGACTTCTGTCAGCTGCTGAGGATGTTTGGGGATGTTCCTAGCCCCTGGGAGTGTGGTTCTCAGTGTGTAAATGGTGGGTGGAGGCCTGGGGCATGGTGCAATCCCAGTAGTCTGGGAGGCTGAGGCAGGAGGACTAAGTTCCAGCTGAGCCTGGGGAATTTAATGGCATGCCAAGACCCTGTCTTAAAGGAAATGTAGCTAGGGCTGGGGATTTAGCTCAGTGGTTTTGGTGCCTGCCTTGCAAAAGCACAAGGTCCCAAGTTCGATCCCTGGTACCAAAAAAAAAAA